GCCAGGCTTTTGCCCCCGCGCCTTCCTGCCCGTCACGTGGTGCTCCGTGCAGCCTATCCGCTTCTGACTAAAGAGCAAAAAGGAACTTCTCCAGAGTCACCGTCCTTTCACCCCAGGCACCCTTCCCTGGCAGGCTTCAGTCTTCTGAAGCGCGGGACTTCAGGGGCTGGCGAGTGACCCCTTGTTTCGGAGGATACGTCCTTGTAGGTGAGTTACCCTCTTGGTGCTGGGGCTGACCTGGAGTCTTGGCGGGCTTTGCAGGCAAGGCGCAATGCAGAAAAACCTCTGGCTGGAGGGTGAGGGCAGGAGAGACCTCTGCACCCCAGGGCTGTTGTTCTTGAAAAGGGAACTGGGTGCTGTCGTGGACACGTGAAAAGAACAGACCATAAGTGAAGGGATGTGTGTTTCCCTTGCGGTGTAAACATGTTTAACAACAGATGTCTGTTCAAACACATTAGTTGTATGAAAATGTTGCCTAACATCAACCGCTCTGTGTGCAGATTCTGTGTGTAGCACACAAATCATCTCATAGGCGTCTTCTTGAGTGAGTTTCTCTAAATGACAAGCGATTAAGTTCTCAGGAATGGTCACCACCTTGAGAGCTGAAGCCCTACCTCTGCACTCACGTGACTTGCCAGCTACATCAACACCACTCACTACTCCACTGTTCTCAACAAAATAAATGTACTCTTCCTGGAAACTTTTGTCAGGAACTAGAAAGTCGCAAATATCTTTATTGTTTATTCCAGTAACTTCCTCAAAGATCCAACCATTCTTCAATAGAGCATATCAGAAATCAGTTGATCTCCCAAGACTTCTTTAACCCTTGTCTCAAACTCTTAACCTGGTTTTAACCGCCCATCCTAAACTCTTACCCAGTGCTCACAATCCTAATGACTCCCCCACAACTCAAGACCAGACTTAAACAAGACTTCAAAATCTCAATACATAGCCTAACCCTGCTCTTCTTTCTCTGAGATACTAACAAAATTCTGTCAAATTATTGTTTTCCTTTTTTTTTTTTGAATTGGAGTCTCACTCTGTCGCCCAGACTGGAGTGCAGGGGCCGCTCAATGAGAATAAATGTAACTTTGTCTTATTGGCAGGTTGTTTTGGTAATATATCTGGGAGCCAACACTGACCTTTTTGGAGGCCCACACAACCTTATCAGCCTCTCCTGCTGAAGCCACAGCCACCACGCTCCGCTAAGAATCACTACATCCTGTGGAGATCCTTTGGCCTTCTCTTCAGGTGCTCTCTGACCTCACAAGTGAGGAAGGTGAACTTGCATTATTAGATTGAACTCTAGTTTCTTTTCATTGATCTCTTCTAGTCTTGAGTGTATTTTGCCCCTGGGAGCAAAGAAATCTTTGCAGGAATCCTTTTGATTGTCTGATCAGATTTTTAAAAGCTTTTATTCATGGTGAAAAAACCTGCCTTATTACTAGCAATACTACAATTTTTCTCTATTCTTGACATTTGCTGTTGAACTTGCATAAGATACAATTTTATTGGAAAGAGAACAGGCTCTGATAAGTCTACTTCTCAAGCTGGCACTGGAGACTAAGAAGCACAGAAGGTTTTGTTTCAGACCCTTGGGGCTGTCTGAAATAAGCAGAGACAATTATTTCCCTCTGGAGCCAACAGAGGCCCCAAATAGCCAGTCTGGGACTTCCCCTGTTGTCCATAGAAGCAAAGAACTGGGAAGTGGCAACTGGGAAGATGGGTGGGAGGCTCAGGCAGGAAACCTGGTAGATGTGAAAGTGAAGGAAGTTAACCTATTGGCCCACTGGATTATAGTTCCCAAAAGGCAGGCAATCCAAACTCTCAACCCCACTTCTCCCCATTCCTGCTGAATCTGAGCAAACATGAAGCCCTTTCCCTGGCCAGGCTGGCTATCTCTCCAGAGCTCTGGAGTCCTTGGATTCCTCCAGTGGGACTCGGACCTGATTTGGGCTCTGGATTCATTTGAGTGTGGCAGTGGAAAAAACGTGCAGCTGAGTGGGTGAGTGGGCTGGACTTTGGGGTGCTCCTCCAGTTGGAGAGGGGAAGAGAAAGAGAGAGAAAGCGAGGATGAGAGAGAAAGAGCCAGTCAGGGAGGGGAGAGGGCTGGAGGCCAGAGAACTGGATCTAACAGTGCTGCCCTTCTTGGGGGGCCAGGAAGGTACAGGTTTTATTTAAGTGGCTGCTTCGTGTCCTACTTTGTACTGGGGGAGCCTGGTCCTGGTGGGCAAGTGTGAGGCTAGAGTCAGCATCAATCTCAGCCACTGGAATTGCAGAGGTGGGGGGGAAGTGGGAGAGGATGAGACTTCACAAGAGACAAGAG